GTAAAGTGTTTAAAGAAGTTAAAAAATACTTGTCTAAGGGCAAAAATGTTAAAATCATTTTTTTCCGTTTTCCATTTCTATTGAATCGGGTCGTTAACCAATTCATACAGTATTTTATGTATTTTTGTTATTTGTTGCTGATGCCACTGTTGTTGTTATTTTATGTTAAATAATAATGTATTTGTTGTTGGGCTTTGGATTTTCATACAGGCAGGAAATTTCGTATCAATTGTGGCGGCTCTAAGTAGAAAATTCAATTTAATTTGCGTTTTAGTTTTATATTTACGATGCTACTCCATACACAATCTAGTTGTTGTTATCAGGGCAGGTGTTTAGTGTGGCCAAAGGAATGATTTTCTTTTCATTTTTTTCGTTAAAAATAAATTTGAATGAATGAATAAAAAAGTGGGAAATGGATTATAAATAAAAAGCTTTTTCATTGCATTATGTAAATATCTTTAATTTAACTCGAAGAGTTATTGACTCTTTAAAGATTTTAATATTTGTAAATTTTGGAAAATTTCAACTAGAGTTTTTGTAAAGAAAGAAAGATTGTTAATATATGTATATGTGCTGTTATAAACTCCTTGAATTATGATGGTACCTGGGAAATGGGTTAAGAAAAGCGATTAATGTTTAGTTTTATATTTACGATGTCACAAATATAGAAAAAACTAGTTCTAGTTCTAAATCTGAAACCAATTTTCATTCCATTTTAAAATGGTTAAATTTCACCAGAGTTTTATTCCATATATATAGACATACATATGTCGAAACAAAGACCAATGATCTAGAAGTTTTTCACTCTATAAACCTAATGTCTTAAATTAAATTAAATTCTAAAGGTATTCAAAGATTTCGATAATCCCTCATACTTATGTATATTCCATAATCGTAAAAAAGTCGAGAAGTCTTTAATATAAAAATTAAGTCAACTGATATGAGAGGTTCACACGGAGGCTATTGAACCCATTGTGATACGTTTAAAATGTTTACTCCCTTGTCTTGTTATACCCGTGGTTTCCGAAAGAACAAACCAGTACATCTGGCTTGTACGATTACCTTAATCTGCGCTCTCGTCGAGAGGGTCAGTCATATTGAATTATCGATTCTGCTTCGTCTTAACAAGTCCAGCAGTAACTGTTAAGTAAAAAGCCTTAACGAATTTCTGTCAACGGCCAAGAAGGTAATGGTTAGTGAATAAAGGTCACAGAGTTCAATAACCTTATATGTGCACTAAGGTTTGTGTTTGTTTTTATAATTATAAGGTACTAAATATGTGGGGGCTTTAACATTCTTTTATTTGATATATATCTTTACTGACCATCTTTCTGAATTCTGACTTCTTATTATAATGGATAACGCAGATTCCGAATGAGTCTGTTGAAGCTAATTGATATGAGACGTTCACTCGGAGGCTATTGAACCATAAAATAATTCCTTCCTTGTCTTGTTATATCATTGGTCTCCGAGAGAACCAACCAGTAGGTATTACAAATTTGATTTAATTCAATTGTGATATATCCCAGAGACATCCAAAATCACTCAGAGGCTATTGAACCTATTGTGATACTCACAACATGATTCCTTTAATGTCTTGTTATACCCTTGGTCTCCGAGAGAAGCAACCAGCACCTATGACAAATTTGATCTAATTCTAATTATGATATATCCCTGAGATATCTAAATCATGAAATAGGCTTGTACAAGGTACCATAATCTGCGCTCACTTAGAGCTTAATCATTCCTAAAGTAAATGTTACATATAAAAGAAGGGCCACAGAGTCCAATAACCTAAAACACTAAGGTCTATGTCTTCACTGATCATCATTCTGAATTCTGTATCCTTACAGTGACTCCTTATTATATTATAACGGATAACACAGATCCCGAATGAGTCTTATTTGCTTAAGATAGAGATTATGTTATTAAGAAGGATCAATTCTCGTGGTTAGACACTATAAGATTGAAAATATTTAGATTCCGAATGAACCTTCTTACAAAAAGATGGAATCAGCAAAGTACTTTAAGAACAAGTAACAAATTTTATTTTAAAGATTAGTATATTGGATAAATATATACATAACTACCGAGATAGATCTTGTCGAAGCACATTCCGGAAATCCAATTTTGAGCTACATTTTAAGATATTCGCTAATAACACGTACAAACGTCAATTGTTTCTGGTTTATTGATATAAACTAGTAAATTTACGTGGTCTCACAGGAAATAATCGGAAGGCGTCAAATTACATGGTCTCCCTCCGATGGAGTTTTATTTGGATAACCTCGAACATGATTATCCACTAGACTGTCTTCTAGCGAGTAAGTGTTCACCTCCTCGTTCATTGGATTTGACTCCTCCGGATAGCCTGAAGTGGCTATTGATGGAGTGGGTGCTATTGTTGATAATGTGGTGTCCTTTCAGACCTAGGACTTAATAGAAAATGTCACCTAGAGATCATGTTTTTGTTCACTTTCTGTGTTAAATTAGTACCATAATGTTGACTTAGCAGAAATCGACTTGAGCAGTCATAGAGGCCAATAACTGGAATCATTTATCAAATTTGCAGCCTAAACAATATGGCTATTCAACGCCAATACGATTTCCTTGGAACCCCCCTTTAAATAGAGCAACCAGTTGCATGGTTAATTTCAAATCAATATTGCAATATTTTATTAATCTCCTAATCAAACTTTTACACACCAACAATAACCTCAATTGCAATTCAAAATCTTTCTCTTTCACCATTTTGGTTTCTTATGCACGTTTATAAAATGGCTGCCACAAATTTTATGACTTTATTTTACTGCAAAAACTCATATCAGACTGTGGAAAGAAAGAAAACTTAAGAATATTTTTATATATTTTTTATAGCGTCGATTTTTTTTATTACATCTACTCGAATGGATCCTTTTTTCGTATTATGTGCTTTGCAATTTTTATAATAACATATCGACGCGAACCAATAACCAATGACTTGACTATGGGATATGAAACTCAGGTAAAATGCCATTGGTTAGTTGAAAGGAGAGAAATCATTGTAATACGTACAGGTTAGATACTTATTCTATTATAACAAACTGGACTGGACTGACTCTCTTACCAGACACCATATCTATACAATAATGTATATTTTACGAACTTTTGCGGCATGAGTTGAAAATGACTTGAGTTGACCTCAAAAAAAAATATATATATAAAAAACTACAACAAAAGTAATAAACATTGTAGAAGCAGCACCTGAGATGAAAATGGGAAATGGATAATGGAATAAGAAGAAAAAGTGCATAAAAATAAGATGTTATTGTTGGATAAAGATGTAATGGAATTGATTGCGCTAAAAAACAAAAACAAATCAAAATTTTGTGGTTAGACTAAAAAAAACCAAGATAAGATTTTATTTTTTCTTAAGATTCTTTATATTTCTTTTACTCAACTAAGTTTGAAAGAAGTTCAAAGGAAATCTGTTGTTATGTATGTATGTGGTATACCTATGCTATGAAAATATTTTTCTTTTTCATAAAAATTTTCCTATTGGTTGTTATAACTTTGTTATTTTTACGCACGTGTTTCTTTAAACACAAAATAAAAAATATCTTCAGAAAAAACAATGTATTTTTACAGCAATTTTTTTATTTCCTTATTCATATGTTTTATTTAACTATGTTTTGTAAGTGTATGTTAGAAAGTTTATATGTGCAGGCAGTAAGGGGGGTCTATATAACACATCTCCATTTTAACTTTTGCTATTTATCATGATTTATTTTATAAAACTTTGTTTAACTTTTTAGGTACTTCTTATGATTTTATTCTATTTATATACCGTTATTTACGGGAGACAGGTGTATATGAACACAGAAATAAATAAATAACTGATTCAATTCAACAAATCATTGAATCAAATACAAAATTGTCTAAAATCGGACCTACAACGAAAATTGTATATTCAGCGAACAAATTCGTAAAAAGTTATTTGAAAAGAAAAAGCATTTTTTCTCAATTAAATAATTATGTTATTAGCCAAAAAAGTTAATCAAAGTTCATTTCCAATTTCATATAAATTTTTTAACTAAAACAAATATAACTTTTATTAAATTTTACAATAATTTTCAAACAATTTTTTGTTTAAAACAATAAATAATTTGTTTGGAATTTGTATTACAATTTCAAACAAATTGTTTAATTAAAACAAACATAACTTTTATTAAATTTTACAACAATTTTTAAAAAAAAATTTTGTTTGAATCAATAAGTAATTTTTTTGAAATTTTTATTGCAATTTCAAACAAATATATTAACTAAAACAAACATAACATTTGTTATGTTTTAGACTAATTATCAAACAATTTATTGTTTAAACCAATAAATAGTTTCTTTAAAAAGTCAGCCGGTTTTAAATAAATTATTATAGAGTTTTCCTATATGGTTGTTTAGACAAACGAGTTGAATGAAATTGTTTGAAATTCTATTTTAAATCAATTACAAATGTAATGTTTTTTTCTACACTTTCTATAATATTCCTTTGAATGAAAAATTAACAGATAAATCTTTTATAAACATTTTATTAATATTTGTTATTCTTTCAACGACAAATAATAATTATGTATAACTAAATACAATTCATTTTTAACAGAAAATCACAAAAAGATAATAAAGTTTTAAAGTTGATTAAGAGAAAATTAGTTTATATACATACATACATCTTTCATAAAATCTTGTAAAAATTATATGGACATGTTTCAGTTCCTATATGTCATGAACATGAATTTTAAAAATTAATTTATAATTTTCTTTTAATTGTTTTTATAAAATACTGTGAATGGAAAATTAATTACTTTTTATGAGAAAATAGTTATTTTAAATTTTATAAAAATTAATAATTTATATAAATTTTTGTGTTTTTAAAATAAAGTAATGGAATAACTTTAAATAAATATAAAAAATTGAGTTTATTTAATTTTAAATAATTGAAAAAAGATAAATTTTATATTACTAAAAATACTCTTAAACTCTTATTTTATATTTAAAATTTCATGTTTAATGGTCGAAACTTTTGAATATTTTTTTGTAGTAGGTAAATCGTATAAAAATGATTGTATGAAATTATAAAAAACATCGGATTCTTCCGGATACTCAAGATTAAATAAAAAAAATATTTTAAATAATACATCAAGAGCATTTAAAAATGTCAAAATTGGATATTTCACATTATCTACAAAAACAAAAATAGATTTAATATTGCATATTTCGCCTATAATTAATAATCTTGGCTGTATATTTCGGCATTGTAGCTTCAGTAATTTGATTTTAACTTCCAATTCCTCTAATGTATTTGCTATTATTGCGAATCCTTCTTGGGAATCAGCAATTGAGTATTTTTTTCGAATCTTTGCGCCACTAGACTCTGTAGAAACTTTAAGTTGTGGTGGGAAAAGGTTATGTAGAAACCAGAAAATCATAAATGTTTTGGACTCTGTAATAAAAGCATTTATTAAAATAAATTTTATCTTTTAAATTAAGAGTTTTTTACCATCATTTTTGGACTCAATATCGGCAAGCTTTTTAGAAATGTATGCGGAAGAAATTTTAGTTTTTAAAACACACAAAATTTGTTCGCTAAATTTAGGCCATCGTTCATGCAAATTTTTGGCCATTGGAAACTTTAGGGCGAAATCTATATCAATCTAAAAAGAAAAAGTAAAATTACAATATATAAAAATATTTGTATGTCAGAAATTTACCAAATGAAAACCTGATGGTTTTATGTAGTCAGGCCATAACTTGAAAATTTCAGCTGTTGTCTGAGATTCCGATATCTGTTTGAACCGAAATGGCGCACATCTGCGCCAATAAATGTCAAACTCCTCAGCTGTTATTTGTTCACTTTGAAGATATTGTAAATACAGGGTGTAATTTTCTTCTGACTCTGAAATAACAACAATTATTAAATATACATAAGTAAGAACAATATAATAATCATTTTACTTACCTTCTAAAGTATTTATATCAGGTTTACTTTCACATTTTTTTAAAACATCCTTTGAAAGCCTTTTTAAATTAGCCAGTTTATTGTAAATTTTCCCTCTCTTTCCGCTTCTATAAAAATCCTGTCAATTATAAATGGAAACATTAAAAAGTGACAACAAAAAACTTTTAGAATATATACTTACAAGTTCCTCTGAGGGAAATATTGAACATATTTCTTTTTCCATCTCAGAACAGTCAGATAAACTGCATACAACACCATTTGCCTCAATGTATTTGATAATGGTATTTAGAAGCAAGTTCCGTTGTTCTTCATGAAGTGTTTCATTTTTTTTGTAGAAATCAAGTATTTCGCGTCCATTGTGGGTACACTTAAGTATTTCCATAATAGAAATTTTTGTTGTAACTTGGTTACTTTGGGAGGTGTAAGTTTCACTTTTATTTAATGATTTTTTCCATTCATCCAAGTTATACTCAAATTTTACCATATCTCCAATTTGGCTATCAACAAAAAGTCTTTCGATATGGTTACTTTTTAGCATGTGGAAAACATCTACTGTAATTCCTTGTTCTGTAAATAAATAATTGAAAAGAAAAAAATTTAATGAAATATCTAATATAGTAAATAAAATATAGTACTTTACCTTTTAGTCTATCATATAGGTGACTCAAATTCCATTTATTTAGTAGGCAGTACAAATCGCTGAATTTGTCCATTTTTTTAATTATAAGTACTCTTGTAAAATTCTTTTAATTTAATAAATGTACTCCCATTTGATTGAATTTTTTCCACCGGTGGTCCAACAACGTCGTTAATGTTTATTATTATGTGTTGATTTGAAATATTTTTATATTCATAAGCAATGTAATGTGTATTAAAGATAATATCTATTTTATTACAACAAAAAAGTATGTCATTTGATGTTTTAATAATAATACAAATTTTGTATAATTCAAAGTCAGTCGTAAATTTCGATATGATCTTATTTTCGTTGTATTTATAGCCCCATATTTTCCCTTCTGAATATAGCGAAATATTTTCTTCAGATATTTTTAACTCTCTACTGACTTTTTTTACGATATTTAAATTATTTATTGGTTTTTTTAAAATAACATCGTTATTTTGATCATTATCAAGTAAAAAATTCGCAAATGACATTTGTTGTTTAAATGAAAAACTTTTGGAAACATTTTTTCTCGAAGTTGTCACATGAGAATATATTTTGAATTCCTTATGTTTTCCTTCGTACTTAAAACTCCATAAATTTCTTAATGGTCCGCATTGTTTTAAAACTGTTGGGTAATGTGTTAAAATGTGAAATTTTGGAGTTAGCGGTTTTTTGAACAAAGTTTGAAAATTGTTATTTAAATATTGAATTTTTGTCTTTATTTGGTGTATTGAAGACGCAGAAACTTCATAACACAAAATATCATCTAGTAATTCAAAAAAGCGTGCTAAAAATGCCCAAATTTCGTCGCCATAGTGTACTAAATCACCATAATCGCCATAGTGTACTAAATCGTCGCCATAGTGTACTAAATCATGTTTATAAATGTGTCTTTGGAAGGACCGTTTGATTTGAAATTTTTGGAAACAATTTAAAAATGTACATTCATAAAAATCTTTGGATGGAAGACCGCATTTGTTCAAATGGGTTAATAATTTTTTGGGGGAATCGAATGATGCTTTGCATAAAAAGCATTCCATCTCCATTTTTATTCGAGTTATACTAAATTAATAATCAAAAATAATTACTGCACTTAAAATTTTTCGTTAATAGTTTCTAAATCTATTATTGATCAAAATCTACACAATTTCATAGAATTTTTTGAAAACAAATCATATACGAAATTTACAAACCATTTGAGATTAAACGGATTTTCAGAAACGCGTCTTAATGTTATGGAAAATAATAAAAGTATATAGAAAATTTTCTTAAATACACACCAATCATAAACAAACACTTTTAGTTTTTTATTTGTTAATAAATAACTTTTTATTATCACTAGGTATTTATTTTTTCTTTCAATTATTCACATAAATATTTTTCCTTAAACACTTTAACGCACCAACTTCTTAACACAGAATAAAATTAAAATCTTAACAACGTTTTTGTTAAGTTCTTTTCTTTTCCCAATACACACAATTTTTTACCGTTAGATTTCTTTCTGCAATTCATTGCAAAAAAATAAGTTTGTCACAATCTATGATGCACGCGACAAACCTTAAAAGAATACTTTTTACAAACCCTTTTATAATTCGCTTGTCGCTCACGGCTACACAATTGATCAATGAGTCGTTGACAAGAGAATATAAAAAGCATGCACATTAGGGTGCCCATAAGAAAAGTTTATAATGTTCACAACGAAAATGTAGGCTTAGTTAAATCTGGGAGTACAATTTAAGAATGTTTGTCTCAATAACATAGGTACATAAAGGAAAAATTAGTGTTAGCCCAATAGTATTCAAAAAATATGAATTTTTAAGAAAAGGAAATTAAGTTTTTAAAAGCTTTGCAACGTCTTTTTTATTTATGTAATTAGTTTAAATTAATGCATTATAAACGCAAAACAAAAATTTTGCAGCAAAAATAAAAATTTATAATTTTTTGTTGACTTATAAGCACATTTCTCATACCTCAGTTAAAGCCCTATCATATAATATCAAAATTGTATACGATATCTTTAATAACCAATCACAAAAACATCTAAACATTTTCATCCTTTGATCAGACAGCGATATTTTAAAAAAGTACTCTGATTATTTAATTCGTTATATTTAGCCACTATTATTTTGGAGCCCCCTAATTCACATGTATTTTTGTCATTTCATTTTTTTGGAAACAACTTGATCATGTACACAGTGTGCAATAAAAATGATTCTTCAAAAATAAATTTAATGCTTTTTATTTATTATAGTAAGGAATAATATTAACGTTAAATTTATCTTTGACATTGATATTATGTTAAATAATTAAATTACATACATATGTACCTACTATGTATATGCATTCAATAATTATGTACATATGTATGTTGCATGATAAAGAAATCGTAGTGAAATATAAGCTTTTCAGTTGTACGAACTCAACCTTTCCACAGTGTACACTATTTGTGTATAATTTTTCTAGAATACTCTTAAAAATTTTACAGTTACAATAGGTTGCAAAACATTCCAAAGAACTAGCTGCCCACAATTAATGATGATATTCTTTAATAAGTCGCACTTTGCTTACAGCTATAATTGTAAACACACATAAGCGTCAGCAACAAATAAAAATACACATTCTTCTTTACTGAGAGAATCCCTGACGTAGATAAAAAAGCAATGAGAGCATTATGTGTATTTCAAAACCCACCCTTATTTCTTGTATTATTCCAAGCACATATATACAAGTGTATGACAGCGTGCAACTGATCATTCGTTATAGTCTTAATTTTTTCCTCGCTAACTATCAAAGTCGATATAAAAAAAATTGACAACAAGCTGATTGTTCTCTGATGGTGGCCTCTTGTTTAATACACTTTGTATTATTCCATGCTCATGTGCTCTCTTCCTAAATCATGAATACAGTGTGCAATGTACACATTCATTCATTGATTAATGTAAACAATTTTATTTATTTTCTGAAATAAGTATTATTACATTTTTAACTTTAATTATTTGTAACTTTCAACAAAAAATACTAATTCTAATTTTAATTTAATAATATTTTACGGCATGAAAGCATTAAATTTATTAAAATACATTCACATGTATATACATAAGTTGTATGAATACATCTATCACACACTTTTTCTTGATTTCTTTTCTTATATTTTTTTACATGATTATGGTGCGGTGTTGTGTATTATATATTTATATTTAAAAAAAACGCAAAAAGTAAAGCGCGATCATTATTTCATAGGAAAAAGCATTAAATTGAATGAACTAAAAAGCGTTTATTATAATTGTTAAAGTTGTCATTAGTGTTTGGAAGAAAATTAAAACCAAACAAAAATAATATTTAAAACAATAAAAAGTATTTATTAAAAGCAAAATTAATTTCAAACATGCGTTTGTTTGACTTTTTTTTGGCAATAATTTTTTCTGTGAATAGAATATTGTTTCACATCTAACTACAGCATTTAATTTTAGGAACTTTCCTTCAATTATCCGTCGATCTTCGTTATTTCCATACCTATGTCTGAGATCTATTTGTATACCTCTGTCTTTAACAGAAGAATTTCTATGGTTGATAGGAGGATGTATATTACATCAAATCCTAAGAAATATACGTAGGCCACTATCGGCTCTGCTTAACTTTTCATGGAAGAACAGTGTTTGATGGTAAAAAAGACGAATGCCTGGCAGTGGCAAAGAGTTTCACTGTCCTCTCTATATGCTTTACATTCGTCTGCAAATGCTCGTCCGATTTTGTATAGCTGTGTAATCCAGTGTGGCCACTCAGAATACGCACTGTCATACTAACCTCAGATTTGCTCATTTTGAGCAGATTTCTACTCATGCTCTCATTAATTTCACCCCATACGATCTTTGTGGTTCTCCCAAATGTTTTATTATTCTTCGTTTTTCGCCTTAAACTTCGTTGAACGCGGTTTCCACCGATCGCCCGTTTACGCAAGCATGCTGCTTATATTTGTGGTATTTGTCTGGTATACTGCTTTTAACCATACTATCGACTATCCGTTCCAAAGTTTTAAGTAGGAAGGACGTAAGGCTTATTGGTCGATAGGACTTATGTATCGTGTAGCTAGGTTTTCCTGGTTTGGGTATAAATATTACCCTTGAATTCTTCAATTTAATTGCGGTATATGTCAATTTCAAGCATGATGGAGGAGGGACTGGTTTACGTACATCTCTCACAGATTTCCACTGCATCTGTGAGAGATGTACGTAAACCAGTCCCTCCTCCATCTGCAAAAGTGCCGGGAAAATGTCATCCGGCCATCAAAACATTGGTCAATCCTTTCGGAATTATTACTACTATTTACTTCTCTATTGGATGTTTGCAATAAGCTGATCGGTATAAAGGATCATGCCAACGAATAATCTTATCCTTGTTTCGGTATCATAATTATTTAGGAGATTTTCCATACGTTCGAAAAAACTTCTAGAGACAAGATCGCATTAAATAATGCTATAAGCGCAACAATAGCCACACATGGTAGGTTTCAAATCATTTAAGTTGTAACTGAATAGTAACCAGGAGTTTTCCTTAGGTTAGGATTATATTTTGTGAAATTCTGAACATCTTCCGAACTAATATTTATTAGCTCAGAGTCTGCATTTATGTGAACAGGTAACATCCCTAATGCAAAGTTATTTGTGGGGGGATTCGGTTGAAAAACATTTCTTAAATGTTCAGCGAATACTATTGCCTTTTTTTTGGACTTCGTGCCCAAGTGAAATCAGATTTTCTTAAGGGACTTTGATCTTTTACCGATGGCTTTATATCAGCAGGAGATCTGTTTAGGTGCCCATCTCTTCTACATCTACTCTTTTCGAGAAGAAATGTGAGTATCATTTTCTGCATTAGAAATAAACCTTTTAGATTTAAGAAAAATTTCACATATAGAGTGTTCCAGGGTCAAAAATATTATAGATGTGAAGTCAATAACACATTTATTTATATATTCCTCACACTGTAGCTTAAGATCAGTGTGGGTAAGGATTTTTTGTACTTCAACCAATTAAATCAGGAAGCTTTGTGGGATCAGAAGCCCAATAAGTTGGCAGACGTAAGTGGATGTCAAATCTAAGTGATTTCCTCGATCAACTAGAGATCTGTACAGCTTTATACCTTTAATACCGCCACATTCCAGGTAACGATCTCCTAGGGTATTAAAATTCTCTTCAAACTTTTTCTTAGTCACGGAAAATTTTGAAGGGCAATACATAGAGCTTAGAGTTAATTCTAACCATTCTAATCGAATGGGTTTTGGAAATAATTTAGGCTAATTGAAATCGTGGGACTGGTCAGTAAACTGAATATATGTATGTACCCAACAGTACCCGACAAAGATCAATGCATTCGTCTTTCCTCACGGATGTAGTCTTTGTAAACGAGGGTTAAGATAATCGTCACTTTAGTGGCCCCTTTGTAAGCAAAATTAAAAAACAAACTTAAGCTTTTTGTCTTTCTATTCATAATCTATGAGGTGACGATTTACATCCTCGTAGCACATGTTAAAATATCTAGTCACCTGGATAATCGGGCTACCCCGATAGGTTAAATAGGTAGTTCAGGACTGTCCGACCGAACTGCTGGGTATGTCTATAGTGGGTCTTCGTTGTTGTTGTAGCAGCTGGCGGAGTTGACAATCCTTGGTCTTTGTTTGTTGAACTCCGAGTCGTTCCGGTGCGAAGAACCGATTTTCATGGGAATGAGTGGGTCTTCGTCCAATATTTCAGTGTGTTAAAGGAATAAGGTAAAGATCATTGAGTCACCTCTGATTAAGAATCTCTCCGCAGATACGAGAACGCAAGATATGGCTTAAAGTTGAAGCAATTGATGACTTGATGGATTTCATCCAGATAACTACCCAGTAGATATATGGGAATGACTTCTACTTACCCAACAACTTACTTTTTAATGAAAGTTTTGCCATTTTGTTTGATCGCGAGTTAGGTAGTCCCACACTCTATTTAAATTCACTAGTCTCTTTGGAATTATACTTAGATTTGGACTACCTAATGAGCTTTATATAAGAGGGTAAAATAAAGGTGGTGCAGAAACATTTTAGTTACTTAAATACTTAAAACATGTTATTTTTTACACCTACATATAAAATTATATTTTACTTTTCATATTTGCGTACATCAGGATTTTTTTCTTATTTATTTAGATTACCATCTTCACGAGCATCAGTTTTAGGTTTTGTATGAATATATTTATTTTCCTGTGAATGTTTACCTAACATTTATCTTCATTGCCTTGGCTCCAGCCACAACAGGTATTCCTCTTCAAATGGGCGAAAAAACATTTTTCTATATTTGTGAATGTGTTGATAAAAATGAATTTATATGGAAAAAATATTCTTTGATAAGAA